ATATGACAGTATGAAGGAAGAAATTGTTTTTTGTCCAAGAAAAAATGATTCATTAACGTCAACGTTAATATTATTTAATTATAAATTATTATTTAACCGATAAAGATCAGCAAACAGAGATTTGACATATTGTTAGTCTAGTCGATATTGAATTAGGATACGACAGATGGCGTTTTTTTTTTTACAAATATGCTATTTAAAGTTAACACTGAACGTAAGTGGGCACAAACAAACACAAACTTCTAATATACGTACATACGTACGTACGTACGTAGGTATGTACGTACATACTTTATATAATATCGAAGGTTGCAGTACTCAACACAATGGATCCACTTATGGAATATTACAAAATGTTGTTTTACGACTATCTCTGCGATTACACGTGCATTCACATAATCTTTGACATAATCTTTGAAGACTATTTTTTTTTTCAAAGATTAACGAAATAACAATGATTTTGTATTTATTTCACGGCTTCGTCCGTTAAACTTCAAACTAATAAGGTATAATTTATAGAATGTTGATTCGAGAAGACATAAAAGACAAGGAATATTCAAGATTTCTCATGCATAAAATTTTCAATCAAAGCGAGTCGGAATCAATCTATGTAGTAATCTATGTGGTGCAATTAATTACCCATACTATATCGTTATCTTTATTATGATGATATGACAAATTATAGATTTATTACAATTATTTTTGGAATCGTGTGATGTATATTAGCATCAATTTCTTTATATATACATACAAGTACTCTATATATGGGATAATCTCGTCAAACGTTTTAACAATGGCATCTAGACAAAATTTTATTTACTGTTAACCGATTAATAAATGCAATTCTTGCCTTATTTAAAATGATTCATGAAAAAGCAATGATTTACGCGTAACGTTACTTATGTCTGTTGTATTACTTGTTACTTATATTACTTGTCACGTGAACGACATCGCACGTACGTACAGTAAGTACGTACGAACGAGCAGTACCTTCTTCTTGAACCAACTACAAAAGTTTAGATATTTAGTGAGAAAGTGAATAAATCATTTTAGGTGTTTAAATTTTACATGCCTGTGAGAACATATAAATGTACATACGTGCATATGCATAAATGGCTTTGTCATTAGTATTCGTCCTAGACTCTTTGCAACCGTAGGACTTGTCTCTTAAGGAAATTTCATAAGCCTGTTAGTTTAACACTCCAAATTCAGAATTTGATCCTATCATCAATGCGTGCGTAGTACGCACATACGTACCTAGAAGGTGACCGATTTAACTGTTAAATGACTTTTACGTACGTACGCACATACGTACGCACATACTAGTGCCTGATACGTACGTACAGAAGTCTTTTTTAAAGTTTACGACTCTTCTGAGATTTTTAATACATTAATTCTTTATTATCTGTTATCATGTTTAGAAACGTATCAATTACGTACAGTACGTATTAACTTTAGTCTGCTCTTGTTATATATATTACATGCTTTGTTTAATTGGATAAAAAAACTTTAACGCGTATGCATCTAAACATAGTGATATGGAAGATATATGTAGAAATGATGGAAAAATCTTATCTAATCAGTGATTTTGAACTTTGTACGTACTTCTGTTCTGTACGTACTCGTACATAGGTTACAAACTGATATTGAGAGTAACTAAATTTAATGATCTCTGTTTTTCAACGTAATAATTATCAACAGTAAATCATTTGTGTTACAAAAATTAATAAAGCTTTATTGCATTACTGTAATTGTCATTATATTATCGATATTATCGATATTATTGATTATCGATATTATCGATATTATCGATATTATTGATATTATTGATATTATCGATATTATCGATATTTTCGATATTATCGATATTATCGATATTTTCGATATTATCGATATTTTCGATATTTTCGATATTTTCGATATGTTCGATATTTTCGATATTATGTACATTATCGATATCGTTAATTACTACGTTTCAATATTATCGATATTTTCGATATTTTCGATATCGTTAGTAATTTTTTTTATTAACGTTAATCTTCCTTTTTTACAACTTGAAAAACTTCAATTTCATCTATGGAAAATTTAGGTCTATCCAAAATTGAATACATATAGTCCCTCTTTTGACAACTATTTTTAAAGATATATAAATCCCCATTTCCAAATCCAATAAATTGACTATCATCATCTGATATTGCAAATTGTGGTACTACTGCTCTACTTAATGTTGTAATTTGTGATTGTGATTCACTACATAATGAAAATATAAAACTTTCTGTAGATGTAATAAATTTATTGGTTCCTGTCCAACTTCTAGGATTATATCCTCCCATAATTATTTGCCCGGTTCTTGTTGGTCCTGGAACTGTTGTTGTTGTTGTGACTGATGATGTTGCTGTAGTTTGAATTTCCGTTTGAATTAAAACCACTGTTGCTCCTTGATTAAAACATCTTCTCCGAAACTCTTCTACCAAAAATCCATCTCGACTTCCTCTTAATAATAATTTAAATTTGTATGGATTTTCTTCCGCTTGATAATATATTGAATCTTCTTTACGATCTATCCAACTTGCTATTAATGCTGTTCGTTTCGAATCAATAATCGTGGATTCAAGTGTATATTTAGGAATTCGTGATGGTAAAATTGCTGTTCTAGGAATACTTTGTGGAATAATAAAATATAATTTCAAATTTTCTCGAAGTTCTTTTGGTAAAAGTTTTTTATATTTTCGAACTTGATAATAATATTCTGTACATGTTAATTGATAAAATCTAACATGTTGAACACTCTTTCGAAGTATTTTCTCTAATTCTTGAATTTCTTCTAAACTCCAATTTTTTGGTTCGGGTTCTTTAATATCTGTTTGCGCTAATCCCCATCTAATCACACTTTCCCAAACTTCTATTTCTTTCATTTGAAGGTTATCATTAGAAATGATAGAAATTAACGCTTCTTCTTGTAATAATCCAAAGTCTTTAGAAAAAAATAATAATCGTGGCTCCGAAATAATTAAATTAATACAATGTGATAAAAGTCTTCCAAATAATGATCCATTGCATGAAACTGTATTAAATACTTGAACTATATTTTGTCGAAACCAATCCATTGAATCCCATTCACACATTGCATTATTTGCATTATTTGCATTACTCTCTTCCTCTTCCTCTGGTTCTGGTGTTAGACTATTATTACTATTATTAGAGACCGATAAACTAGATGTGATGTAGTCTTGAATATAATCAACTAATTCAATAAGATTAAGTTCATCTGCTGTAACAAGTAGATCTAAAAGTGTGTTTTCTATAATGCTAGTATCTAAATCAATATCTCCACTATAAATGTATCTATTAAATAATAAATGAATATTAATAAATGAATATGAATAAATGAATGTGAATAAATGAATGTGAATAAATGAATATTAATAAATGAATATATTAATAAATGAATATATTAATAAATGAAATATATTAATAAATGAATATATTATATTAATAAATGAATATGTTAATAAATAAATATTTCAATTCAATTTTAAATAAATTATTATTATATTGTATAGCTTACTTTAAAATAATCCTAAAAACATTTGGATGAACATTTGACTTTTTAAAAGTAATTATATCTCCTTCTTTTTTGGCCCAATTTGTTGATAAGGCTGCTCGAAAATATGGTGATCTAGCACGCAAAATAACTGAATGTGCTTTAAATATTTCAACATTTGGTTCTTCTCCTATAGTAATATGTAAGTTGAAATCATCAGATTCTGTGTAAAGACGGGAAATATCTCTCACAACAGTAAATGATAAATCTTGGCGTAAATCTTGTGAAGTATTAGTAATCATTTTTTTTTTATATTAATATTGTTCTTTAACTTTTTTTAATAACATTTTTTAAATGTCTTGTTTTAAATAATAATCCAAAATTTCTTGAAAAAAATTTTCCAGAAAAAACTTTTAAAAAAAATAGATTGCCAAAAGTCAAGCAATTTATCATCGTTATAACCATTAATGTTAATCTTGCATAAATGTTTCGTCACACGGAATGATTACGCCAAATAAAGGGATTTTTCGTTAATTTTATTTACGCGGCTTATTTAAAATTGACATCCTGTAATACATAACTACATATTGTATATGTTAACCTGAGACTTAACAGGCAACAATACTTGATTTTTTGTTTTATCTTCATAGATTGGCTTATTTGGCTTAGCGTCGTGATTCCCGCTAATTCTTAAGTATATACTTTGAATACGTATGATCAGTTCAAATGGACTGACATTTTCACTAATAATTTTCTGTTCTTTATTTCTGA